TGCCGTGCCACCATTCAGTGTCAGTTTACTGCATATGAAAAACCTTGTTAGCTAGTAAAACTGTCAGAGTGGCAGGTACATTTTGTAATTTTCTCAATTCTGTGGCTAATGGAGAAAGAAGTAATTTTTCTGTCAGCAGAGTGAGTTGGAACCTCCCCTCTGGAGTTATCAGTATGCTGTCCTACACTTTCATCAAAACACCACTACAATAAAATTCTCTTATCCAGGAGCTCCAAGTAAGACAATGCTGACACAATTGAGTCTGGGTGTCTCACACAGGGGTCAGCAGTGTAGACATGAAGTGGAACAGTGCAGCTACAGTTATCTCTGTGGAGCTGGGGGGGTTTATTACCATAAGATACTACTCACCAAGCCTCAACCCTCCTCAATATTCCACACTGTCCGCTGCTAAAGTGGGGCTACTGTTTAGAGCTGAGGTTATTCCATTTCTCCAGCACTATGAAGATCTGTCTGTTATTGCACTGAAGGCTGTTACACAGCTTCAATATCCTTCCAAAGCATAAGCTCATGAGAGTTTATCCTTGACCCGATAAAGGGAGAGAGGCTTTACTCTGTCAACAATTCAATCCTGTAATTCTTTCCCATTTCATAGGCTGATGAAATCTTCTTTCACTGTGGTTTCACAGTGCCTGCATCTTCACTGAATTATCCTCTCTACACAAGGCTTTAAGTTTCTTCTGGGTTGGTGTAATATCACAAATATTCCTCAACAAGCCAATATCATATATCGATCAATATGGTCCTTGAAAAATCCCTTGGAGGCAAAAGAATTAGCTCCCAAGATGACATTACTACATATATTAAAAATATTATTTATATTTACTATTTGAATATGTATGTATGCTGCAGTGAGGACATGTCTGTAGAAATATCAGTTATCAGACCAAGTATATAAAATAAAATAAATTATTAAATTAAAAATATTATTTTTCAATACTTCATTCTCCTTCTATTACAGATGTTTATTGTATTCCATGAAATCTTTCTATTCTATTTACAGTTGTTTTACATGTGTCCATACATATTCCTACTGTATGCATCAATGGGGAGTACTATTTTCAGCATTATGTAATCTCTAGAGGTTGCTTCCATGCTGTAGTAGATTCCTAAATGCTCTGCAGACAGTGCTGTCAGTGACTGCACTGTGATAATGCGCCACGTTGTGATCATCGCTGTCACCATCGCTGTCATCGCTGTGCACAGTCCTATAGATCAATTTTGCATAAATACATTTTTCAAAAGAGGATAAAACTGTTTTTTATTGTTTTCGTGAAAATAGTGTCTAAGCTTCAGGCATCTGGGTGGGCGTTTCCCATGGCGGTAGCTGACTGACATATGAGGAGTGGTGTTGCTAGGAGACGTGCTGTCATCTTCTGAGGTGTGCAGCTAAGTGGAGCATGTCATAGTGTATGAACGTTGATATAAGGGTTCTTCACAAAGTCCACAGTGTTAGTGATGTATCATTAACGATTTAAAATGCTTCGAAGGAACCATCGAGCTATCAAGTTTGTAAACCACTTGGAAAGTTGAAGGTACTGAGCATCAGCACTTCATACATATATATACAGCACATGTACATAAATATTTAATACTGACTTTTTTTCAAGGCCAAGACTGATATTTTTTAGAAGTTGAAGGTGCTTTGGGTTTTGGACTTTCGGTCAGAAAAAAGAAGCTATTCAAAGACAGAGATCGACTCGGAACTTGTGATTAGCATTTTTTTACTGTTTCCTGATGTTTTACTTAATGATTTAACAATTGACAGATTAATCAATAATGAGGACAATGATAGCTCCAAAAATAAATAAAATCATACTGAGCCCAGGATAAAAAAACAAAACAATACTACAGTATGCAATCAAACACAGTCATATTAGTGGTATTACAGTACACTACTATATGGCATATATGTTAGCAAATCTCCAGCTTTTCATTTATCACACAAAGTCCAATTCTATCTGCTGTCAGACCTGCAGCCACACACTGCCACAGCCCTGTCCAGCTGAAGCATCTATCACTGTGATAAAAGTGTTGTGCTGACCCGGTGATTGACTTTTAAAGAACAACGTGTTCACAGTGTCTAACTCCAATGTCTCGAACCTTCAATTCATCTCTTCTCTAACATCTCACTTTGTCCCAGGGCACCGTGCAGTGTTCCTGCAACATGAGGTGGTAAGAAGCACTCAAGATTTCAGGGTTTGTCAGACACCCCTAAAAATGGACAGACTAACATACAGATCTCAGTGTTCATATACATTGTGAGGACTTCCTTTCCACCTGGCAATAACAACTGGAGGCTTGATTGTAATCATACAAAGCTAAAACACATCAATTTCAGGTATAAAATGTATCCAAGATGCATTAAGGAGTCGATTATGCAAACTACCTCCGGAAATGGTCATAGAAGCAGTTACCCATATTCACAACACAGTCTAATGCAGTACATTTTTCATCTAGATATAAAAGCTAAATAGGCAGACATTCTTAGCATTTACTGCAGGTGTATGTAATTTCCTGGACACTACTTTGAACATTCCCACACAAACTGTACAGCTTCCATTTAAAATGACGGTCTTACTGTACAGTTTTTATTGTCAATTCATGCTTCTTGACTTGCAGTACTTGCTTTCATCTTTTGTTATATTTTTCTCATACTATGTGTCTTGTTATTCACCAGAATACCACAGCAAAGTCCTTACGTGAAAACCTACTTGGCAATAACCCTGATTCTTAATCTGAATAGACCTTTTTCACAGCAGCCATTTTCACATGAAAAAGTAGGCTAAACACAGGTGTTACGAATGATACTAATTAAGGTTACGTTCCGTTCAGTCAGGGTGCTGCTATTGTGCATGTTGGCTCACTGGAAAGGCTCTGCTGCACTACAGCGAAGTAACAAGAACTGCAGACTGGCTGAAAAAGTAGTCAATCTCCATAAGCCCCTGTATAATAATGTCAATAACTTTACAGCAGAAATAAACGTGTTGTTAAAGCCTTGTACAAATGCTTTTGGTCTCTAAAGCTAATGTCCCTGTTCATGACCACTGTATGTACAGCACCCGTTTAAATTATATTAAGGCTTAAAGTTATGCAGGATTAAGCCTGTCACAGGCACGCCTCAGTTCCACCCACACTCCACGTCTTTGTCTCGTCTTTTTAGGTCAGCTGAGAGCCGGCGGAGGCAGAAATGCCAAGATGGCGACGGTTGGACCTGACCGTGACACGGACATCACAGAGACTATGTACATTTTTAATTATACAGTCTAACCATCCATGTATTCATACCCAAATCTGCTGTTCTTATCTTGAAATGATCTCAAATAATTTCAAGACAAGAACTTAAAAAATAGAATTTTTTTAGCTTTAATGACCCTCCTGACAGCCCTGCCTCAGTTTACCATGCCTGCCTCTCATTTTGTACGTCATATAGTGTAAGAAGAGGAGATATGTACCCCTGACTGTGCAAAGTCAGAGTAGTGTGACTACAGACAATACCCGGCCCCCGGTTGACAGCCCTGGTAGAAAAATGTATCAAGCAAAGATGAGAATCAGAGAGGAGACACCGCAGGAAGTACGCTAAGATCTCGATAGGGTGGAACTGACAGGTGAGGGTGCGACGTAGCAAAAGTCCAGGAGGGTTCAGAGAAAGCCAAAGAGGTTTTGTCAGATGTGACAGAGTAGCGTGGAAAACAAGTCTACATTATGTTTAGAGGTAGAATAATGATAATGTATGCGGAGAAATTTGGGCGGTACATACCTGACACCTCTCGAACTTTCGCTTTCAGATCTGTAAATGACAAAGACATCAATCAGGAGAGGTAGGGAACTAAAAATGGAACACTGACCTACTTAAAAAACAGGTTTGGCATCTGTTTTGTACCATGCATATTTGGTCTGGTAATAGGAGCCTAAGTCCAGTTACATCGGAGAGTGAAAATCATGATGCTGCACTTCTGAGCAGGTCAAAATGAGACATGAAACTGCATCGACAGCACAAAATTACATTTGGCTAAATAACTGTCTCATACATAACTGAAGGCAGTTCAGTGCAAAGCTAAGCTGCCAATTAAACTAGTGAAACTGCCTTCTTTACTTTTCCAGACCAGTAGGTCTAGGACAGGCAAACCCCGGCGGTCGGCAGACCAAAAAGCCGACCATCAGGGGCAGACCATCAGTAACACACAAGTTCCTACAAACATACACTTATTTCATAACTTCGCCTAACGCCCATTTACAAGCAGTCTACATTATGCACAAGGTTTACTTTATCTGTTCCTTGGCACTGTCAAAATAAGCTTGTGATACCTTAGAGCAGTTTTAACCTACATCAAACCCGTTTCCCTCAGCTCCACATTTCCTCTTATCTAGCCGAGAGGATTGATATGAAACTTAAAAAGAGTTGGCAGATGCCTTTTGCCTTTGCATTTTTGTCTCAGTGCAGCTGATTTTGTGGGGGAACTGGCGCATAAACCTCTGCTTTAAAACACAGGAAATTACAAGCTGAGCCAAGCAAAATGACCTATTTGGTTCTTTAACCTTGGGCAGATGTGCGGCCAGGCGTGTCTGTAATGACAGATGCCAGCATGACTGTGGGTCACCGCAGTTTCTAAAGAATGTCACGTCAGAGTCAAGTGGTCACATAACCGGACAGATCCCTTCAATTCGCTGGAAATAGGGAGGTGAAAAAGTCCACTCATGAAAGGGTAGTGCTGAAACAGATGGAGGGCAAACTGTCTGTGACGTCTGTCAACTTCACTCGAGCAAACGAAAGGGACTCTCTTCAAATTAGCTGGTGTTGGACCAGCTGAGAAAGTGTAACCAGCCAGCCTTAATAGATTTGACAGACTCCTTCATTAAGCCTGAGGTTGTCTTTCATAACCCACCACATCCAGCTAATAGGGCTCTTGTATTTCCTCACTCTCCCTTCAGCGGAAAAGTGTCAGCTTTTTGGCTCCCGGTACTCAATACTCAACTAATGAGAGTGATCTATCAGCTGTATTGAATTCCGCTACACAGGGGTGGGTGAAACAAACGCTGGCAGTGGTAACGCGTTGACACCTTCATCCATGTGGTGTTTTTCCAGACAAAGCTACCAAAGTGGAACAAATCCTTTACTAATGGCGTGATGGTTCCCCGCTTGTACAAAGCTGCTTTGATGAGACACTTCCGAACTTCAGATGTTCTATTTGGTCACTACTGTTTTAAGATGACACACAGAGCAGGCACAGCAAGGGAATTGCTGGGGGACAATGCGG